AATTATAATAAAAACACTCCATCTCTTATTATTAATGGCATTTTATATATAGTTATAATCATTATTATATATCAAAATGAACTCAAAATTTGTTAAATCTAAGTATGTCTTATTTTAAAATATATCCCGTAATTTTTACTGGAAAATCCTGTATATTTCTGTATGTATACAATTTATATTTATTTATNCAAATATTATATTACAATGAATTATAATAAAAACACTCCATCTCTTATTATTAATGGCATTTTATATATAGTTATAATCATTATTATATATCAAAATGAACTCAAAATTTGTTAAATCTAAGTATGTCTTATTTTAAAATATATCCCGTAATTTTTACTGGAAAATCCTGTATATTTCTGTATGTATACAATTTATATTTATTTATTTTTAAGGCTTGAAAAATACCATGAGCTTGTTGTATCCCATATTATACCATTATGTGGTAATTGAGATGCTATATAAGGAAGTATCCATGTTAGATACCATCGTTCACCAAGTACTTCCTTTATATTTTGTTTTAGTCCCAGATTATATATATGAACCTTTTTATTGCTTTCATTAGCAACATTGCCATTGATGACTAAATGAAAGTGATAAATGCACAAAACTCCAGTATACAACATTCCTATAGTAGATACAATATATAATATTAAATAAAATTGGTCTATAGAGCCATCAAATCCAAAAACAAATATTGCTAATGGAAAAACAATTTTTATAATTGACATGGGAAACTCAAAGTGTATCCTATTCCAAATAAAAATGTTATTAAAACAAAAACTATATGTTGTTGCTATGAATAAGTACAAAAGAAACATAATAAAGTATCGATGGTTGTAATGACCAATGCAGCATCCTGTAAAAATGCAATGATGGTCCCTTTTTAAAATACAAATATCACATGTTGGGCAGTGCCATGATCGTGGAGGAGCAAATGTTTCACAAGAAGCACACAGCCTCCAGCCTTCTTTAGTATTTGCAGCACTTATTGGCATAATGTCTCTTCTAGTACTAGTATCACAAAAAACTATATATGTGAAATTTCCAACAATGTTCACCATGATGAAATTTCCAAGGAGAAAATTTAACGTGTACGGTAATGATCCAAAACCATACACAGCCGGTAATACCACCCATAATTCAAACCAATATATCAGAGGTACAATGGTTAAGATAAATATCATCGATAAGAAATCGCTTAAAGTTCGTGGCCATATCTTTTTTCTCATAATCATTTTGAATAACTTTCTGTATTTTCGTGGAACACGTGATTTTACTCAGCCGAAACAATCGTCTTTCATCCATGTAGATATATCCGTTTCTCAAGAGTTTCTGTTTAACCTGAAATGCATCTATGCACCATTTGTTATTTTATTTTCCTCCTACTTCTTAATATTCTCGTGTATATTATTTAGTGGTTTTATGAATCATGTACTCACGAGTTATTTGAATGAAATCATTGTTTTATGTTGTATGTACGTAAAGGTATATAGGTACATTATTCCTTCTTCAACGTTATGTTCAGCTGAATATGCCGGATACATCAGAATTCTATATTTGATCCTTTCTTATCAGAAAAATTTAACAACTACAGAATATTTTGAGAATGTAGAAATGTTGAGTAAACTTTCTTGCATCTATATCATGCAAAGAAGCTTATTTATTTTTGTAAATATATATAGAGAGAGTAGATATGTAATTATATATTGCCGCTCTTGTCACAATTGGATATATAAAATCCGATACAAATATCCGGGTGAAAAGCTGGCTCATAATAATAACTAACATTAATGAAACACATAGCTCAAAAAATTGCTTTTTAGTTGCCAATAATTACTAACCAATTAGTTTTAATTGTTCATTTATCCTTGTCGAGAAATATCCAAAAAACTTTTTGAGATTCCTAGTGATTTTTATGAGAATTCTGAAATAATACATAAAACGTAGTGTATGACCTACCAAAGAATTGCTCTTTTCATCTAACCAATTGCTCACCCTTTCACAGGCGACAAATTTATCAATAAACAATGAATTTTCAATAAATAAATATATAAGGAACTAGGAGCACGTGCCATTCATGACTGCCAAACATCAATTGACATAAATACTCAAAAAATTGCTCTAACTCAATGTGTGATGTCTTAAACAAATGCTCTTTAATTGTTCATTGTTGATGTGTAATTGCTTTTAATTGTCCCTTCGTAGTTTCTCAGAAATTTTCAGAAACTTCCTCGTGGCGACTAGGGACTTTCATGAGAAGCTGATGACTTTTAATAACACGAAATTTTTGAAATACAATCGTACCTCACCATAATAAGCAATTCTGCTTCATCATAGTAACCATTATTATCCCCACCATTTTAATATGCATCAAGGCCCGGGCAGTTGCTTTAGAAGGAGAACGGGAGGTGATCGAGAGACAGAACGAAACCAGCGGGTTTTATGAGTTTGTCCACACGGGCGAGAAATCTAGTCCGTCTCACTTTACCGTGCTTGCGGTCTCACTCTTTTCGCGCACCCATACGTCTGGTGCTCCATCTAAAACACATGGCGCGATATTCAACTTGTACTTTTCACCCAGTAGGATTCTCGACCACACAAACTAGAGCATATTTACAAATATCTTAAAACGGTGACCATCTCTACAATTATTAAAATTTTCGAAAACCCGTAAGCTACATTTTAAATAAAACTTTCTAGTTTATGAATTTACAAAATTTTGTTAATTCAGCCATCCCAATACTTGTGAACTGTGACGGGCAGCAATCAGTGTTCTACTCTACAAGAAGGATTTTCGAAAGCAACGAATAATTTCGCAATTTTATATGATTTTTACTATTAAAAATTTGAAAAACGAAGTTGAAACTTACAATCATATCCCCTTAAAAAGACTACATATTTAATATTAGTTAGTATGGTGAGTCAGCTTCACACAGGTGATACGAAGTATAGAAATAGCGCCATTAGACATAGTGAAAAAACGTTGAAACTAGTAGACAAATTATCGGCTGCAAATAATTTTTGTGTAATTTTAAGTATATTTCCAAAACTATGTTTACCCTGTCGGTAATATAGTACATTTTTAAACGCAAATGATTCTTGCTGAATTTTATATTGTATCTTATGGCAAAAGCAGTGAGAATCATCCGTCCTCTTTATTTGCAATAATAAATAAGCTTTATTTGCATGATATAGTTGGCGTGGAACTTCTTGAGGTCAAAATCGTGCGAAGGTGGAACCAAATGTCTTGTATTCCTTTAATTTATGAGGCCCGGCGTGCATGCGCAAGTTATGTATAAATACATAGCTGAAAGCCGAAGCGTGAATATGGATGCGACACTCTTGTATTCTCATACTCTCCTTGCTATAGTCAGAGTTTAGCGCGCGTTTTCTGGATTCTATGACTAGTATATCTTCCATAATTTTGAATAACTAAGACAATATGCAAAGTACTGAAGAATTTCCATTCCCTTTTCCACCATATTCTATACAAAATCAATTCATGAAAGAATTATACAAATGTCTGGAAAATGGCAGTTTAGGAATTTTTGAAAGTCCGACAGGTACAGGTAAATCTATGTCAATTATTTGTGGTGCATTGAAATGGCTAATTGATCATGAAAAATCTGAGAGGGATCAATTAAAGACTGCAATTTCTGACCTCGACAAGAAAATACATGATCATTCTAATGCTTCTGATGACTGGTTGTTTGTACAAACTGAACAAATGCAATTGAACACTGAGAGACAAACAATTCAAAGAAAACTAAACAGTATTCTTCAGTATGACCGCAAAAAAGATTCAATCAAGGAAACATCGAAAAGTGCCAAGGGTACCAAAAAATTACACAATCATATAAAAACTGATAGCACAAAACAAGAAGAAAAAGCAATCAGCGAGTTGCCAGTAGAAGAAGTGAATGCACAAGAAGAAAATATTCAAGAAGAACTAATTTTAGAAGATATAGTTCAGCATTCAGATAATTCTGAAAGTGAAGAGGATGAAGAAGACATCTATGAAAATATTAAAATCTTTTTTTGTTCAAGAACTCATTCTCAACTTTCACAATTCATAGGAGAACTAAAGAAAAGTCCTTATTCAGAAATTGTATCTGTTGTTACATTGGCATCCAGGTAACTTTCTTATGAACTTCTTCTATACGAGATGTGTTAGCTCATATTTATTTTTATGTATAATTTTAGGCAAAATTATTGTGTTAACAAGAATATTAGAAGATTGAAACATTTGAATCTAATAAATGAGAATTGTTTACAGTTGCAAAAGAAGAAGACAACTGTTAAAGATGAAAAGGATCTGAAAAGAAAGAAAATCATGACTAGTTGTCCATTTTTACCAGGTAATCAAGACTTACTGATAGGGGAAGTTATAACACAAATCCAGGATGTTGAAGATATTGCACAGAAAGGAGAAAATATTAAAACTTGTGCATATTATGCATCAAGAAAGGCAATCCCACATAGTCAGCTTATATTAATTCCATATAATTCTATATTACATAAAAACACTAGAATTAGTTCTGGAATCAAATTAAAAGGAAACATATTAATAATTGATGAGGCCCACAATTTACTTGATGCTATTGAAAAAATGCATAGTGTCATGATTACAGGTAGAAATATATTGCACTGTTATAGCCAACTTTCACAGTACCAAAAAAGGTATTAAACAAAATCTGTTTAAATAATAATAATTAATATTATTGTTATTTAATCTATTACGTTTTAGGTTCCAAGCATTGTTTTCTGCTAAAAGTGTTTTAAGCTTAAGTCAATTAAGCTTTTACCTGAAAAAGCTTCTAACTATCTTTGGTGCCACTACAAAGTCAAATCCTAGTGACATTCTTAATATAGAAACAACTGCAAAGTTATACAAAGTTGAAGAGTTTGAGTTGATAACAGAAATTGATAATGTAAATATATTTGAATTGTTGAAATTCATTAAGAATTCTCGATTGACTCATAAACTTCAAGGTTTCATGGAACAATATGGAGATCAAGTGAAAATCCAACAGAATCGCACAAAAACATCTGGAGTAACACAATTTTTAAATACTATTAAAACCAAAAATTTAGAACAAAATGCAACTGACACTATTACTGGTACAGTGTGCGAAGAAGAATCAAATAATCCATTAATATCACTTGTAAGTTTTATCGAATGCTTACAAAGTAATTGTAGCGATGGACGAATATTTGTTGTTCCTGGTCCAACTATTGGTCAAAGTACTATAAAATTTTTATTATTAAATCCAGCAGCCTATTTTCATGATATTGGTATGTATATAAGTTTAAATGTTATTATTGTTTAAATTAGTTTATAGAAATTTAATACTCAGTTATTCATAGTACGTGATGCCAAAGCTGTAGTATTGGCTGGTGGGACAATGGCACCAATGGATGAATTTACAGAGCAATTATTTATAGCAGCAGGTGCTGCACCTGAGAGAATTGTAACATTCTCATGTGATCATGTAATTCCTCAAGAAAACATAACATGTAGTATTGTAACATGTGGTCCAACTGGCATTGAATTTGAATTCAATTTCAAAAATCGACAAAATACGAAGCTGGTGTGTATTTAATGAAAATTATTATGTTGCCATAAATTTTTATCTATGATATATCTTATACCTTCAATATTTCAGTTAGATGAACTTGGAAGGGCATTGGTAAATATATGTAATGTTGTACCTGCTGGGATTGTAGTATTTTTACCTTCCTATAATTTTGAAGAATTACTGTACAAACATTTAGAAAAATCTGGTATTGTAGCAAAAATTTCTTTAAAAAAATGTATTTTTCGAGAGCCTAAATCAACTTCTCAGGTATTTCGTTCGTTTATTTTAGGATCAAATACTTTCTACAAATTCATATAATTCATAAATTTTTCAGGTAAACGAAATTTTGGATCAATATGCACAACGCATTAAAACGCCACAAAGCCCACAAAATGGGTCACTATTATTTAGTGTAGTAGGTGGTAAGCTAAGCGAAGGTTTAAATTTTTCTGATGATTTGGGTAGATGTGTTATATTAGTAGGAATGCCATACCCAAATATTAAATCAATAGAACTACAAGAGAAAATGAAATATTTAAACGAAAACGTTGTATGTATACATCTTCTTACAGAAATATATAATGTAAGTCAGTTAAAAATCCTTATTTTCTTATGTTCATTAGAATTCAGATGCTGGACAAAGTTTTTATGAAAATGCTTGCATGAAAGCTGTAAATCAATGTATTGGACGAGCTATTCGACATATTAATGATTATTCAACGGTTGTACTATTTGACAAACGATACTCTAAAAAAACTAAAGTACTTCCACATTGGATTCAACGCACAGTAATAATTCATAGTACCTTTGGTAGCATGATCAGTGTTATAGCTAAATTTTTTACTAAGAAGCGAAATAAATTCATTAAAAATAGTTAGATTTCAAATTTAAACAACTTATAAAATATTACGATTTATATTATAATATACAAATTTACTACATAAAATTTGCAAGTTGTACATTAAACTTGTATATTAAGTCGTGACAATAAACTTGTCCAGGATACAATATGCAACATGGAAAATGTGACTGAAAAAAATTCATTACATATGGTTTTCAGTAATACTTTCAATTTAGAAGATTAAAATTTTACAATTTACATATAGTTTTAAGTAATATACTCACATAATGTATTGCATTAGGATAATTTTGTGGTTGAATAGTAAAACCACAATATTTTTTATAGTGGACTCCTCGTTTTCCTAAAATAAATTTTAATTTTTTCGGCGCAGTAATTTTTGTCCACGATTTTTCAGAACATATTCCTTCTTCGTTTCCATTTTCAAAATCTCCACCATTTTCTTCCTGCAAAAAAACAAATATAAATTTGTAAAATTGAAAATATTTTGGCATTTACAATGTTGAAACATCGTTAATAATTATATTTACTTCTTCGAACGAATCAGAAATAAATGAAATCTCTGGTATACTGGGTGGTATACGACCTCCGGTATAAAACTGTACACCACATTGATCAGAGTAGACTTCTAAGGTACTACATGTATATATATAATTAAAATAATAGTAGTATATTAATAGTGTAACATTAACAATTTTATTAATCTGTACCGTCCACTTTTCACATGCCATGCCTTTGCAACAAACAAACTTCCAGATTGTCCATTTCTTGTAATACAAAGATTGTGATCGTAACCTTCCCCCGGCGGTACCTAAATATAGCCAAGTATTTTCAGCGTTTCTAAAATGTAATAATATTTAACACTCTTATACCTTTTCCATGTATTGTCCCAAAATTCTTGGAATTCTGAAATCCATCGAAGTTCCACCTACCCCATGTATTGCACCTGTTGGAACAGGATCTGTATAATCCGAAAATGTCCATCGATCACAATTGAATAATATTTTATGTTTTTTTAATTCTACTTCTCCTGCATCCTATGAAGTACTTGATATGAATTAATCATTTAAGTAAATATCACATTTTAAAATAGATGACTACTTACATGCCCAGCTAGATTAAACATTGAACCATGTGATAAATTTATTATTGTTGGCTTAGATGTTGTTGCCCTCATACATATGTCCAACTTGTTATCTGTAGTTAATTTAAATCTTATTGTAGTTAACACTGCACCTGGATAGCCTTCCTCTCCATCTGGGCTTAAATAGCTCATGACAACTGAACATCCAGCAATATATGAGTCCCAAACCTTACGACCAAATCCATTTGTCTAGAGAATGTGTGTATAACAGTTAAATCAGAAAATATATAATAATACAAGATGTTTAAAATTAATTTACCCCTCCATGTAAATGATGTTTTCCATTGAAATCATTTTTTGTTAACTGATAATCTCTACCTCTAATAGTAATATGTCCATCTTTTATTCGATTTGCACATCTTCCTAGTATACATCCAATAAATGGATTCGTTATAGGATTCATGTACTCTTTGAAAAAAATTCAGATGTAGATTACTAACAGATATTAATATGACTTAATTATTTGAAATACATGAAATCAGACCTTTTAAATCATCAAATCCAATAACGACGTCAGCAGAGTGTCCATACTTATCTGGACACTTCAACGATACAATTGTAGCACCCCAAGTAATAATGATAACTTCCATGCGATTAGCATTTCTAATAGTATATGATTTTACTATTTTTGGTATAGAGTCAGTAAACACTTGATTTTCATCATTATCTGATTATTTTTAATTTGTATTTAACATAAATTATCTTTTTTATGCTATAACAATGTACAATCAAACAACCTACCGACCCAGATTTCTCCAAATATTCCTTCTGTAATTGTTACATTTTTGCAATTGCACCCATGAACATCCATGTTCATTAATAAATTAGAAAAATGAATTTGAAACGATGTTATTTAACAAAATGTTCATAGTATTGAAAGTAGTACAATAATTTTCATATCTAAAATATAGTATATTTTTGTCCTTTTTCTAGCTTAAACAACGGAGTCATTTGTTTTTTAGATATGTACGTAATTGGATATAAAAACATGGAATATGTATTTATTACTACCAAACGTATGAAAGAAAAAATTTAATTTTTTTTCTGCTGTTATTTGAAATGATTTATTAATAATAATAAAGCACCACCTACAATCTGTGATGCTTGAATGTTACAATAATTGTAATAATTAATATAATATATATTCCAGTTACTATTTATAATTTATATAATTAATATTTATAGAATAATGTACAATGCTTGGAAAAATACATGAATTTTTAGTGCAAATTAGACACCGCATCGATACGTTTCCCGTTCAGTTTTTTGTTCATTACATTTAAACGTGTCGAGTAAAAAATCGAAGACGATATTCGTTATTGCATTTCTTTAACGTATTTACTTCTTTTAAATTTTGCATACTATAAATTGAATATTTGATGCCTGCTTTCCCATATTATTCTATTTCTTGTATTCATAATTATTGATGGTCGTGCAGTGCCCAATATCCTGTTTGGCAAACTATATTTACCACAGAAAATTCTCTGAAATCCCTATCTCATTGTACAATGGTTTTAAGTTATATTACACAAAATTTTTTTTTCAAGCTTTGGGTTCTGCATTTCATTACTTTTTAAGGCGCACACCAAAGCAGTCATTTGTTACTTAAATACATGTGGAACACATTGCACTTAGCTTATTAGTAATACTCTTACAACTACAGAGTAATTCAAAATTTAAATAAATTGTCAGTGATTATGGGTTTACGGGTTGCAGTACATTCTACGTCCTCTTAATTCATATATTACAAAAAAATACTGACAAAACTTAATTTCACACACAAATACCAAATAATTGAATAACTGCAATAACTCCATAATACAAATTCTTTTCAGATATCATTC